CCTCAAGGCAAGAAGAACTGGGAGTGACATATTTCAAGCCTTAAAGGAAAGTAGCCTCCAAACCAGATTGATGTACCCTGCAAAACTATCTATCAAAACTGATGAAGAAATAAGATACTTTCATGACAAAGAGCACCTTAGGAACTTCAGGAATACCAAACCACCACTCAAAAAAAATTTAGACAATATCCTAGGAAAAGACAGTGAAGATCACAACCCCAGGAAGCAAAGCAGAATAAATCCATTGGGCATTACAAGAAAATAAATGCAAAGAGGGAGAATCGAACAAAAAATAAAGTCATGGCAATGATAAGTCAACAGGTATCATTTATAACCATCAATGTTCATGGTCTCAACTCACCAATCAAAACAAATGGATTGGCAGAATGGGTCAAGAAGCAACATCCAACAATATGCTGCATACAAGAAACGCACTTAATTCAAAAAGACACTCATAGACAGAAAGTTAAAGGGTGGAAAACAATACTCCATGTGACAGGAACGCGAAAAAAAGCAGGAGATGCTATCCCCTTTACAGATCAAGTAGATTTCAAACCAACACTGATTAAGAGAGACAAAGAAGGACACTGCATCCTTGAAAAGGGAAAAATCCAACAGAGAGAGATGACAATCATGAATATATATGCACCAAACACTAGTGCACCCAACTACATAAAACAAATACTAATGGACATGAAAAATCAAATAAGCACTAATACAATAGTAGTGGTGACCTCAGTATCCACTGTCACAAATAGATAGATCAACTAGACCAAAAATAAGCAACAAAATAGCACAACTCAATCAAACTCTTGAATAAATGAACTTAACAGATGTTTACAGAGTGTTCCACCCCATAAAATCAGAATACACATTCTTTTCAGCTGCACATGGGTCGTTCTCCAAAAGACCACATACTCACTCATAGAACATGTTTAAGTAAGTGCAAAGGAATTGAAGTTATCCCCTGTATATTATCAGACCATAGTGCGATGACCTTGGAGATCAACAGCAAAAGAAACTGCAAGAATTTCATAAACACATAGAAACTGAACAACACACTTCTGAATAACCA